AACTATTTATGTTACATGAAACAGGATAACATCACTACATAACGCATAATGATGATAATTACCTTATGATGTCCGACCAACCTATTCTATTTCCATGTTTGAGATGGTATATTCAGTCAGAAGCAAAAAGTTTTGGAAGACGTAAAAGAAGGGGAAATCACTCCAAATTTATGATAGAGGTATTTTTCAGTTGCGAGAACTTATGGAAACATAAATATGTATGAAGATTTAATAATGCTGATACAATGCGCGTAGAAAAAAAATTGGCAAATCTTGAAGAGAAAGCATCAATGGTAATCAGAGACATTATCATCCATATCATCGAGGCATCTCAACCGAAAGGCCAAATTGTTTTGCTTAGGAAAAATCTTTATGACTTACGTAAGTTCCTCTTTATTATGAACTACCGAAATCCTTGCAGAAGAAATCAGTTTGCAAATAAGAATTTTGACATTATTACTTGGGCATTGGTAGAGGGATTTATACAAGAGCACAACATAAAAATTCGCTGGAAGTATGGTTACAGAATGTTCGAGAAATATTTAGATATCACACTTGATAATGTTGAAGACAACTCGCGAATTTTTTCCATCGATAAATTGGATTATAAGCTGAGCGTTATTGATAGTTTTCTCGCAATTTGGCAAGCTGGTGAAAATGATGAATTTATTTGACCAGTAACGGATTTTGAATCTTTGAAGGTATAAATATGATTATGTCTCCAGGGAGTCCATTTCTACACGGCTTTCATTGGTTTTATGTTATATTTCCAAGTTATTATTGGTTCTTTGTGATAGTGGATTTTGAGGTGTTGAATTTAAAGCTTAGATAAATGGCTTGAATTCAAATATCGATCCCTTTTAAAAGATGCACCTCATCCACCACCAATTCCGGGATATGTAATTATCTCTCAAGCCAAAGTAAATCATGAATTTGACAAATTTATTAGTTGGTGGGAAAAAAGATTGGTGGAAAACGAACTGGTATTAAAAAACATGATAATGACAAGTGTCATTCCTTTCCCTTTCATACCTTTATAAGACAATCATCAAATACTATAAATTTATTAAGGAATACAAGAGAACTTTAACTCTAATGGAAGGAAACCACAGGACTTCTCAAATATGAAAAAGACCTTGTTTAAAGTATTAAATAGAGGGAACTATGGAGAAAATTTTGATCTCCGAAAATATATTTCAACTGGCAATAGTCAATGGAAACTGTTCACACTGATTGAAGATTACGTGTAAAGTTAAAAATAGTATATTTTCTATTTTCATTTTAAAACCCATATTTTATTAGTCTTTTATATATAGTGGTAGCACTTTTATTATACCAACTGAACTATAATTTATTTTATATATTATAGGTTACATCAAGAAAACGAAAGAACAAGCATATCGGTGAAAAAGAAAACCTTAT